CCCCAAAGCGGAACGTGCACCGTTCAACCACTGCACCACCGTGCCGGCCCAGGAGAAGGCCTTTTTACATTGATATAATTAGGAGTTCTATTAGCTTCTTTCACTTGTATTTTCAGCTCCTTCCCCAGGTTTGGGAAGTTCTTAGCTATTATTTGTTTCAACATGCTTTCTGCTCCATTCTCCTTCTCTTCTCCCTCTGGAATACCTGTAATCTTTATGTTGTATTGCCTAATTGAGTTGGATATTTCTTGGAAAATTTCTTCATTTCTTTTAGTCTTACTTCTCGCTCCTCCTCCATCTGAAGCTTTTCTGAATTTCTGTCCTCCGGACTGCTAATTCTCTCCTCCATAATATCAGCTTTGTTATTCAGGGAGTCCAGATTTTTCTTTATCTCATTCATTGTGTTTTCCCCCTCCACCATTTCTGTTTGGTTTTTCTTTATAGTTTCAATCTGTTTTGTGAGGAATTCCCTCTGTTCTTTAATTTTATTGCTGATTGCATTGAACTATCTGTATTTTCTTGTAATTCATTGAGTTGTTTTTATGATAGCTACTTTGAATTCTCTGTCATGTAAATTATAAATTTCTTTGCCTTCAGGATTGATTTCTGGCTGCTTGTCATCTTCCTTCTTGTCTGGAGTACTAATATATTTCTTCATACTGTTTGATGGCATGGATTTGTGTCTCCACATAGTGATAGTATCAGGTCTCAGCTTCCACCTGCTGCCACTGGGTGGGGGTCAAGAGCTGTGTATTCTGAGCCCCCCCCAATGCCCACCTTGCTCGCTCATAGCTGCTCTTTTTCTAATGTATGCCTGAGTGCCCTGTCCCACTGGCTGAGCCAGAGCTCCAGGCAGAGGGAGGGGCGCTTTCTTTTCCGGCACGATCCCAGGGGTGTTCTTGCTCTACCCTTGCTGTCTGCTCCCCTGGGTTGCTGGCTTTATGAGGACACCCCAGAGTAGCTTGGCCATCTCTGTGGGGGGCTTTCCCAAGGGCTGTGAGGGACCTTGGAGATTGAAGGTGTTCTCGTAAAGATCTCCCCCTTCCCCCTCACCTCTCAGAGCCGCGCACACTCCCATGCGCTGGGTCGCTGCCCTTGGGGGAGAGAGAGGAGATCCCCTTACCTCCTTCTACTTCCTCTGGGTGCTCCAGCACCTCCACCTTCAGGCATCTGGCTGCATGGGTTTCTCAGATGTCTTTTATGTTGTGTGAATGTCCTCTGTTGGTTTTTTAGTGTCCTTTTCATTGTGTCTTAGTGGGTAGAGTAAGCGAAGAGCTCACCTTGCGGTGATGCTGACATCAGTCTCCGCATTACTTTGTCATAAGCTTCCATTCTAGTTTTTGGATGAAGCTTCAAAAAACGACTCATGGCGTACTCCTTCTTTTCTGTTGTCTGCAGTGGTTTGTGTAAGATGTCATTTCTTCCTCAAATGTTTGCTAACGTTTACTGGCAAAACTTTCCCTTCATGGAATGGTTTTTGAAACGTTCGCTTTCTTTACTGTATATAGCAGCATTCAGATTTTCTGTTTCTTCTTGTATCAGTTTTGGCAGGTTGTATTTTCATGGATTTTCTAAGAGTCTTTCTAAATTTTCTAATGTTTTGGCATTAAGTTTTTCATAATAAATTTTCGTCTTATTTTTGGCACAGTTTTTTTTCCCCACATACTATGCAGTTCACCCATTTAAAATGTAAAATGCAGTGCTTTTTTGGTATGTTCACAGAGTTGTGGAATCACAATCAAATTTGGAACATTTTTGTTACCTCAAAAAGAAACCCCATGCTCACTAGCAGTCACTCCCGTTCTCCCTTCCCTTCTACCCTAGGCAGCCACCAGTCTACTTACTGACTTTGTAGATTTGCCTGTTCTGAACATGTCGTGTAAATGGAATTCTGTAATATGTGGCATTTTGGTCATTGACTTCTTTCACTTAACAGTGTTTTCAGGATTCACACATGTATCAGTATTTCATTGTTTTCATTGCCAAATAATGTTCTGTTGTACGGATATATCATGTTTTATTTATCCGTGTATTAGCTGAGGGACATTTGGGTTGTTTCCACTTTTTCCCTATTATGCCTAATGCTGCTGCAACTTTTGTCTGCAGGTTTTTGTATGGATGCATGTTTTCATTCCTTTTGATGATACACTTGCAAGTAGAATTGCTTGGTCATATGGTAACTCTGTGTTTAACATTTTCAGAAAGTACCAGATGGTTTTGCAAAGTGGCAGCATTATTCTACATTCCTACCAGCAGTGAATGAGGGTTCCACTTTCTCCAAATCCTGGCCTACACTTGTTATTGTCTGTCTTTTTTATTCTAACCATCTTGCTAGATGTGGAATGGTATCTAATTTTGGTATTTGATTTGCATTTCCCTAACAACTAATGATATTGGGCATATTTTCATCTGCTTATTGACAGTTTGTGCATCTCAGAGAAATGTCAATTCAGATCCTTTGCCCCCCCTCGCCCCCGCTCATTTTTGTTGGTGAGGAAGATTGGCCCTGAGCTAACGTCTGTTGCCAATCTTCCTCTTTTTGCCTGAGGAAGATTGACCCTGAGCTAACATCTATGCCCGTCTTCCCCTGTTTTGTATATGGGACGCCACCACAGCACAGCTTGATGAATGGTGTGTGTGTCCTTGCCTGGTATCCAAAACCTGCGAATCCCAGGCCGCAAAAGTAGAGTGTGCAAACGTAACCACTACACCGCAGGGCTGGCCCTCCTTTGCCCATTTTTCGATTGGGTTGTTTTTGTATTATTGGGTTCTTTATATATTCTACATACCAGTTCTTGTCAGACATGTGATTTGCAGTATTTTCCCTCATTCTGTGGTTTGTCCTTTTATTTTCTTAATGGGGTCGTTTGAAGCACAAAAGTCTTTAATTTTGAGAAAGTTCAATTTTTCTGTTTTCCTTTTGTTGTTTGTACTTTTGGTGTCATATCTTAAGAAACTATTGCCTTCCCCAGGTTACAAAGATTTACTCCTATGTTTTCTTCTAAGAGTTTATGGTTTTACCTCTTACGTATAAATGTATGATCCCTTTGGATTGATTCTGTTAATGGTGTGAGGTCAAGGTTGTGTCAGGGGTCCCCAGGACCACCTCAGGCTAGATTTATCAGAAGGACTCACAGGACTAAGTAGCAGTTCTGTTCAAGATTATGATTTATTGCAGCAAAAGGACACAGATTAAAATCAGCAAAAGGAAAAGGTGCATGGGTGACATCCAGGAGAAACCAGGTGTCCCCTACTGGTGGAAGTGCCCAGGATGTGCTTAATTCTCCCAGCAATGATGAGTGACAACAGATGCAGTTTTTCCAACCAGGGAAGCTCATCCAAGCCTTGGTGGCCAGGGTTTTTATTGGGGTCAGGCATGCAGCAACCACAGGACTGACCTTAGCTTCTCAGACTCCAGAACCCCAGAGCAAAAACAGGGTTCACCATAAACCACATTGTTAGCATCAACTGTCTGTCAAACTGCTGCTCCACTGGCCCAAAGCCACAGACACGCATACGCTCTTTTCAGGCAGAATCTTCTTGTCGCTCAGAGCTCGTCCTAGGAGCTAGCCAAGGGCCAGACCTGAAGACAGGCCTTTCTCAGGAATGTGCAGGGTTTAATCATCCCAGGCCTGCTGGGTTAACCCTTTTCTGCACAGTACGCCATCTTCATGCTTTGGCGTGTGGATATCCAGCTGTCCCAATACTATTTGTTGAAAAGATCATATTTCCCCGTTGGATTGTTTTCACACCCTTGGTGAAAATCAGTTGACTGTAAATGTGAGGGTTTGTTTCTGGATTCCTACTTCTCTTCCCTATGCCAGTATACTCTCATAATCTCCCAATAGATGTCAACTTTGTGGTAATGCCCCCTTTCTATTCTTAATGCTGGTAATTCATGACTTGTCTGTTTTTCTCTTGATCAGTCTTGCTTGGTATTTGCCAACTTATTTATTTTTAAAACAGCTTTTTCTCAGTTCATCACCTCTATTATATGCTTGTTTTCTGTTTCATTAATTTTTGCTTTTAGATATTTATTTCCCTCTACTTTGGGGGGATTTATTTTGTTTTTGTTTTTATAAATTCATGGTGAATATGCGATCAGTATTATCTTCAGGCTCTTTTGTCTTCTAATATGTGCATCTAAAGCTCAAAATTTACCTTTCAGCTCATCTTTTCGTACATCCCGTAAGCTTGAATATGTAGTATTTTGATTTTCATTCAGATTGGCGTGATTTTGAATTTAGTTCAATTAGAATTTGAATTAGAGAATTTACTTTTTTAAATAGAAGTTTTCCCTTTTTTCTTCATTAGAAAAGCAACACAGATTCATTAAACAAATCCCTAAAGTAAAGAAACAGAAAACGTGGATGTGCAATGAGGACAGTACAGTGTCCATGCCGCCATCATAGAGGTGAAGTTTAAGCAGTTTATGCATTTTCTTTCAGGCCTTTTTATGCATATTAATTCAGTGTGCCATTATTGTTTAATAGATGGGATTTCGACTGCAAACTCTTATAACTTCTTTTCTCTTTTCCAGATAGTAACATATTTGCTTTCCTAAAACTTCTTTCTTCTCCTTTGAAGTCCTTCATGGAGGTGTGCCCTTAGGGATGTGGGAGGATTGTGAGTCAGTTACAAACACTCCTCTTAGCTCATGCCTGCAGATCCATCCCTGCCTTCAAGGTGCTCATGGTCTGACGGAATCAGACGCAGGTGTGGGGATGGCTGATGACACAGAGCTGCTCTTGGGAAGATGGTTACAGGACAGCAGCTGCAGAGCAGGAATGCAAGAAGCCAAGAGAAGCGCCACGCAGAGGGAGAGGCAGCCTCCCGGGAGTGTGCCAGCTGATGGAGCTCAGCACTGCCTGAGAAGGAGCCGTTTCCTATCACCCTCCAGCACACTGAAAGTCTTGTGTGCCCCCTGCAGGTTATCGCCATGATCAAAGGCTTGCAGGTGCTGATGGGCAGGATGGAGAGCGTGTTCAACCATGCCATCCGGCACACTGTCTACGCCGCGCTGCAGGACTTCTCGCAGGTCACCCTCAGGGAGCCCCTCAGGCAGGCCATCAAGAAGAAGAATGTCATCCAGAGGTCAGCCTCACTGCATGCACCTCCCTGCATTCAATGTCTAAAACTGTAGGATCAGCTTAGGTTTCAACAGCTATAGAGTTGCATTTTCATAAATATGCTCAGTACATTTCTCTTCCACTTCCCGATGCCCTTGTGGTGAATTTCCTCTAAATGTATTGCAGGGGCTCCAGTTATTAACCTGAACAACCTACAGTAGATGAAGTACAGAGTGTCTGAGCTATCTGGAGATCCAGGGGCAAGGGCGTGTTTATCTCAGGCCAGGAGTGTCTCAAAATCTGTCCAAAGAGTCTGATCACCAAGCCTGTAGGGACACGCAGCCGGCCTCCCACCTCCCATCTCAGTGTGTTGTCTTCAGTGTTTTTACTTCTGTTCCTTTTGGCCTATAAGTTGGTCGAAAACTACACAGATATGGCAGACATCCTGTAGCAACCTTGAGCTAGTTTTCCCTCAATATTTAGCCTTTCAGATAAAGTTGTCTCTCAGAGACATCTCTGTAAAATGGAGCTTACAAAGGCCCACAGTGCACTGGTTTCATTTTGTGATTGTATAGTTAATATATTTGTTACCAGTGTGGTGTGATTTTTAGCATTAATAAAGTTTTACACTGTGAGACTTAGCAGTTTGTGTTCGCTCCAGCTGGGTGGAGGGCTGGGTGGAGGTTTTCATGTTTTCCATTATGCCCTCTGTTTTGCTCATGCTCGCCATAATGGGAGGCTCACTATGTGGGCAATGTGCAGTGTGGTCCAAAGGTAGCTTAGGTTTTAGCTAGAACTTTCCCCACGAGGTGATCAGGATGGGCGTGTGGGTTCATCTGCTCCTAGTGTGCTGTCCAGGGCCTCTCTGCATGGTGGAGCGTGTGGGGGATGGGACACATTCCACGTGAGTCGAGGACACAGGCCCAGTCCCTGCAGTTATGTTGGTGACTTCATGTTCCTGTTAGAAAAGGGGGATCAGCCACAGGGAAGTCGAGTTTCAGCTCTCTGGGTGGATGTTTGTGGTCTGTCTTGCTGCCCTTAGCATGACTCAGTGTTCAGGAAAGAAAACATCACTGCTGGTAATTGATGTAAACTGCAACCACGTCAGATCTTTTGGAGCTAGTAATGTCCCCAAGAAAATTATCTATTTTTAAAAATTTGCCTTGAACTGGTCCATTACCGTGTCCCCCGACTACCCCCAGGGGACTTCATGTGTGAGAGTTGGCTATCCCAAGAGCTGTTTGCTAGGCAAGGAGATGCTGTGATTGTCAATGTCCCGAGGGTGCCAGTGCTCCGCGCCTTGCTAATGACTTGATGGGGCTGTTTAGTGTCCTGCAGGCTATCAGGAAGACTGTGTGTGACTGGGAGACAGGGCACGAGCCCTTCAACGACCCAGCCCTGCGGGGCGAGAAGGACCCCAAGAGCGGCTTCGACATCAAAGTGCCCCGGCGAGCTGTGGGACCCTCCAGCACACAGGTTCTTGTCCCCCCTGCTGCCCTGCTCCACCTGTTCCCCTGGGTGCGTTGCCCCTGAGCTGGGAGACAGTAAGCAAGGCCAGGAGCGAAATGACACCACAGCTGTCTGCTGAGCAGATCAAGTGTTGACTGTGTCTTTTCTGCTCCTCTGCCCCTGCTGAAGCGAATCCGGAGCATTAGCATCCTCGTGACTCTCAGATTTGCCCATCTGCGTGCTGAACTTAATGTGACTACATTAACTCCTGTCCCAAAAATGTGGTTGAAAGTCTGTGTGTCTGTATTTATGCTGTGTTTCCTGATGGGCGTTTAAATGTAGGGTTATAATTTTTATGCTGGGCCTAAAACTGATCATTCCTAAAGACAAAACTTTTGGAAATATAACAACATAACTTTCATGTGTCCCTGGCCTTAAGCCACCACCGCTCTTCTCTCTCCTGGCACATTCAGCCACCCAAGCAGCTTTCCTTGACTCTCCAACCTGATTTAATATTCCCTGTGCTTCCCTCCTCCCCTTTTGGGACTTGGCACTTCTTATTCATCACCTCTCTGTTGAGGGCTTTTATAGTCTCTTTTGCCAGTGTATGAGAGAATTACCAGCAAAGCACGTTGCTGGCTCTATAGGAAACCTCTCAGGTATGTGGGAGGAAGGCATTTGGCCCACTCGAGAAGCATGGGTTCTGGGTCTCTCCAGCGCGCATGCACCCTCCCTGCCCTTCGTCCCCACATGCCTCTTCCCACCCCATGATGTGTGTGTTGTGAACTAACCGTTCTCTCCACCTCTCCCCTGTCTGTCCATGTCTAGCTCTACTTGGTGCGCACCATGGCTGAGTCCTTGAGCTCTGCCGAGCTGCTGAGGCAGCTCAAGTCTCTGGGCATGGAAAGGCTCTTGCATGTAGTAAACGCGTTTCTGAGGCAGTCCTACACCTATCCGCCTCTTTTAACCTTTGGTGGTAAGACTTCCTTTGTTTTCTTGTTGATGTTTACAGCACAGAGGTGAACTTCTCTGCTACCAGTTCTTTCTCCCAAGCATCAGCAACTTGGCCACTTGGATGGGCACCCAGACCCCCTTTGAGGAGCCGGCTAGCAGCGGGCTGCCCACTCCAGCCCGCTCTGGTCAGAGCATGGCAGAGCAGTCCTTCTCTCGTGGTTTACCTGAGTTTGGCGTAACTAATGTGTATTTTCTCCCCTACAAATGTCTCCTTGGATGATGCAGCTTTATATGGTGAGAACCATGCTAGAGTCCCTCATTGCAGACAAAAGTGGTTCCAAGAAAACCCTGAGAAGTAGCCTTGAGGGGCCCACCATATTGGACATAGAAATATTTCGAGAGTCATTCTTCTACACTCACTTGATAAATTTCAGTGGTAAGAGATACTGCTGACCAGCGTCCAGCCTAGCATGTTCTAACACTGCTAACACTGTCTAGAATGCTTCCACCTGCCTGACCGTCCCCTGCTGTGGTCCCCTCACGCACCCAGATGGCAACACGTCCTAATCTTCATGCCATTCCCTCGCCTATCGCTTTAAATGCACAGCTGGCCAGAAACTTCCCTCCATGTGATATGGCCCTTAGGAGGGTGAGGGCTGTGGGGCCATGGGGCCGTGGCTGGCCCTGTGACCTGAATACCAAGTTTTTGTAACCCGCTCGGAGTCAGAAACACAGGCGAATGTAATCTGTCACCTGGCTCGAGACCAAGACAGTGATAAATGTCAGAAACAGCCCCCAGGGGCAGTGATGTATGGAAGGTGGTAGGTGACCTGACACAGGCAGCCCGTCCTGGGGTGACACCCTTGACCAGGGTGCCAGGTGGATGCCCTTTGTCATCATGGAGTTGTCCATATTTACTCTTGTGCCACAGCCACTTGCTCAGAGTGAGAGGCCTCTGTCTTAGCTAGGGGTGCTGCAGATTTAGAGTAAATGATAGTAAGGCTTTTGTTTTTCACTCTGTGAAAGGATGGAAACATTTTTCTTAGAAAATCTCTCTCTATTTTGCATTAGATAGACCTGCACTGAATATGCATGTAATGCTATGTCTTTATCTTAAGTAAAATAGAGTAATCCTGTTTTTATTTCTCCTTTTAAAAAGGACTTTTTTTTTTCTCCCAATCCCACCAAGAGGCTCAGAGGGTTGACAAGTTCCCATTAGTGGGTAGTGGTGTCCAGTGGGGGCGGGACACTCGACTCTGCTCTTTCTGTGAGCCTGGATGTGTAAAGTCCAGGGGGGCTTTGCCTGCAGTCACACCGTGGTCGTGTTGTCCCTAGTGTGAGGTGCCATGCGACCCCTCCCCACTTGTGTCCCCTCCCACATGGCTCAGGGCTGAGAGTGAAGGAGCCAGCTCCTGGCATGTGGCCTCCTGACATCACCCTGCTGAGTCTTTTTTGCTTGCAGGAGATTAACATGGTGTTGTTTAAATCCTTCAAGAAACACTCCAGCAGTGCTGTGACCTTTCACAGTTGTGGTTCCGAGAGTTCTTCCTGGAGCTGACGATGGGCAGGAGGATCCAGTTCCCCATTGAGATGTCCATGCCTTGGATCCTGACGAACCACATCCTGGAGACCAAGGAGGCATCAATGATGGAGTGAGCGTCCTGTGGGCCAGTCTTGGCTCTCTGTTTATGGTGACCAGGGTCCTTGTTGGCATTTGGGAGCTGGGAGGTGGGGGAAGGGGCCACACTGTTCTTAGCACTTCCTCTTGGGATACGACTTCAGAGATTAATACAAGTAACAGATTTCTTGGCTTTGAAATCAAGAGCTCGGGCAGTAGGACTAATTAAGTCCCACCATGTTCAGATGCTGGCCAGGCCCTGGGGACTTAGCTGGGGTCAGGGAGAGAAGATGTGGCCTGGCCTGTCACATGGCAGAGCCTCCAGCGCAGATGAATTTGAAGGAGGAAGTGTTGATTGGACAGCTTTGTTCTGAGGTCAGGGCTCAGGGCCAGGACAGGGCTCAAAGACTTTCAAAATATGAAGTCCATGGAGGGAAAGTAATAGAAAAATGGGTGTCTTGTGGTGACCAGATCAGGGACTGACCCAGCAGCTTCTTCTTCGCCCTGTTTGCAGGGCGAATGGTTAGCACCTCACCTTTGCCCATGCATGTCAGTTCTCGCGTGGCGCCCGGGACGATGGCCTTCCACTTTCTCTGGAGTGGCCATGGCATCTATTCTGCAGTGTCAGAGATGGTATGAGGAGGACAGAGACCCAACACAGAGGAGACCCAACACAGAGGTGTTGGCGTGCCTCTGTGTCATGCTTCTGGGATTGGGCTTGGCCCTGCTGCGCACGTGGCCTCCCCTTGTCAAGCAGGAGTGGTTTGGCACCCTCAGAGGGAACTTACTCCTGGAGACCATTGGCCACCGCCTTTTGTCCAGACATGGGTCAGGGAGAGAGGGGCTTTTGGCTACACTGGACATGGTCATGGTCAACTGTGGGACCCAGGACCTTCATATATTTTTCTTTTTAAGTCAGTGTGTTCTTAAAAATAAGAAAATAACTTACTTTTGCGGTTATAGAAAATACCGCATGCTTGTGGTGAAAGCTTTGACACAAGACAAGTGAGAGGCTGCAGTTATAGGAGACCCTTATGGATCTACCAGGTGCCTGGACATGACCTGAGTAAGGCATCCCCCCCTTGGAATAGGCCGGGCTGGTGTGAGTGCGTCATCAGGGCCCTCGGCAAGAACCGAGTTTGGTGTTTGAAGTAAGAGAGCATTTTCCTCACGTGAGAGGACAATAGTAAAAGTTAAGTTTCTGGAGGTGTGTAGAGCGTGAGAGCCAAGAAGCCCTGTGTGGGAGGCTGGCTGACTGCTCGTCCCTCTGCAGGTACGTCCTCTACTCCCTGGACCTGTACAATGACAGTGCCCACTACGCCCTCACCAGGTTCAACAAGCAGTTTCTCTACGACGAAATCGAGGCAGAGGTGAGGGCCCAGGCACTGTAAACAAACTTTCTTTCCTTTTCCTTTTCCTCTGATATTAGAGGAAGCAAACTTTCTTTATAATACAAGGAAGTTTAAACAATGGCTTGAACTTCTGAAATAAACATTTTGGGATGAACCCTTCTATCTGCACTTTTCTCTGTGCATCTGCACGTGTGATGATTGGGGTCCTACCACATAAGCTGTGGGGTGACATACTTCTTCACTTGACAGCATGTCACAAGCACTTCTCTATCCTCACTGTCTTTGGTTATAGACACGGTCTAAAGCATCTTAAAGAAGATGCCCTGAACCAAGCCCTGTTTATCAGTGTATCTCTGGTGCGCTGGACAGTGCCTGGCACCTGGGTAGGAAACGCAGGAAAATATGTGTTGAATGAATGAATGAGTGTTGGTGAGTTTGTTAACTTTGCCTTGCTCGTCTTTATTTACATCAGTGAAAATAGAGATTACTATTCATCCAATTCAGGATTAAATAAGATGAGAAGAGAGCTTGTATAACAAAGTGATAGGAAAAACAAATAAGACTTTCTGTCTGCGACAATTGAACATATCCCTTGTCACTTTGCTTTGGAGGGAGACACTCGCATCTTGCACACACATTGTAGGGTGTGAAAGCCCTGGGGTCCATTGGTCTGGCTTTGTGTAGAAACGCAGAAAGTGATTCAATCAAAAAAGAAATCCTGCTCCAGTTCAAGCATTACCTTTTAGAAATTTTTTAAGTGAGTAAACAATATCTGAAAGTAGCATAATTTCCATGTTTTCTTACTTCCAATTTTGGGAAAGAGGAGAGCCTGGGAGGCCGATTTAGTGTTTTGAAAATTTAGCCGATTTGGAATAGCTAAAGAGAGGGCACACATTTTTACTCTCTATGTCATTGATTGAGTGTTCATGACATAGGCCGCCATGTTGCACAACTCCAGGGGTTGCCATTTACATCACAGTTCATGCAAATAATACTTCCTGGGGCTGTCCAGTGCACAGCCTTCACAAATGCATTTAGTGCCCTACTGACAGTGTGTCAGACAAAGTCCTTTGTCTGTATATTCAATTTTATTCTCCACGCCACTCTTTGAAGTAAGGGTGATTTAGAGAACAGCAGACTGTGACTTAGGTTAGATGACTTGTTGAAGGCCACAAATTAATCATTGCAATCCTCCAAACTTTCCAGCCTCCATCAGTGTCAGTTATGCCACCAAATTATCCGGAAGGGACTCTGGGAATTGATTAGTCCTGCCACCCTATATTTGGTGCATATTTTGCCTCAGGCCACATTAGTTAGTTCTCGTGATTCCTTACTCATGCTCCTGTCCTGACAACATGCCACGAGGCTAAGAAATCCTACTGAAGATTCAGACTTGAGTGAAAGCAGTGCAGATTCCACTGAGAGCACTGATTCCCACTCACAGGAACCCGAGGCCTGAATTCACATTCCGTCACCTGGTCCCTCCAGGAGGTTTGGCTTGTTCCTCCAAGATGCTGCTTCTCCCTAAGCCTCCATCTCAAGCCTAGAGGCAGTAAAGGAGACGGTGAGTAAGGAGGGGGGCATCGACGTCCTGATGTCCTGTGCAGGTAAACGAGTTTGTGTGTCAGTTCCATGTTGAGTGAGGACAGAGGTGCAGGGAAGCGTGCATGATGCCATCTCATTCCTAGAAAGCAAGGATCCCCAATCCGATTTCACTCACACATATGAGAGAAAGACAGACAAGGAGAGAGAGGAATGGAAAAATACATATTAGGTTCTTAAACTAAGTTGGGGATAGGGATGGAGGCAGAGACAGGGGAGAGACCGAAGAGAAGCAGGGGAGGGGTGAGCAACACAAAATGAGAATTTAAATGAGCACTTAAAATGGTGTCCTCGGGAAATGCAGCGTACTCTCATTTGTGTAAACTATAATGCGTGTGTGTAGAAGATGTACAAAAGGATGATGACAGAAAAGGTAATAGTGACTTTCTCAGGAGGTCTGATTTCAGAGAATTTCATTTTTTCTTCATACTGTTTGTATTTTTAAAAGTTTTTGCCCCCCGAAACATGTATTATTTATATAATCTGGGGGTGGGGGGGATGACAAAAAAATCTTTTCACCATGGAAATGAAAGAACCTTTTCATCACTTTATCTGCCTTATATATTGTAGTGCTACACAACGTTTTATTTGAAAACAGTTCTGCAAAGCACTACTCTAGACAATACGGCCTTCCTCCCCCACCCCCCAGCCCATGAAATTCCAGAAGAGTAGACTGGTATCTCCTAGCTAA